CCTGCTGAAGGCACTGAGCTGCAGCCAAGCCACGGAGGTAATTCACATGTCCCCTCCTTGCTGTAAACCCCTGCAGTCTGTAATTACAGCTGCCTCTGAGTTCCTCACCCTCCAGGAGTTGTCCCGCTGCTGGCTAATGCTCCCTTTCCATCCATTTTTTTTCCCTTTCTGGGTCCTTTCACAGTGATGGTTTTAGGAACTCCACCTTAAGGGGAAGAGATCCTCAGAGTTTAATTGGCCTGGATGACTTTGGTTTGGTTCCTCTTTCGTTTTGTCACACGTGTCATGTCCAGGCCAGGAAAGTGAGCAGGGCAAGTGATTTGTTTGCAGAAGCCAGGCTGATCCCAAGCGCAGTGCAGTTTCTGCCTATTCTCTGTGTATCTAAAGTGTTCCAAATGCGTAGCACTGAAAAATGATTTATCCTACATTGGCCCATCTTGTATTTCTACATTCAAGAAGGGCTAATTTCTCTTTTATCCCCACATTTCTAGTTATCCCCAAATTTAAGCTGTATACCTGCTTATACAGATTGTGGTCTTTACTGCTTAACATTTCAAGGTGTGATTTTTTTTGAGAGACGGAAGTTGCCATTGCAACATGCTCAGATCAGTCCAAGCCACATTTGAGGGCTTCACTTTCACATCTCCCACAGCTGGTATGTGTCTGCAGACAAGCATTCCTGATCGAGCAGGAACATTCATACACCTGTTGGCAAGAGTGGTGCCACATATTGGTGCTTTATTAATTGCCTGTAGAAAGGCAATCAGCTATACCTCCAGACCCAAGTGTCCAGTTAGTTTGGAGGGCGTGCAAAGAAAAGCGCTTCTGGGAAAAAGGCAGGCAGGATGGTTACCGTCTCCTCATTTATTATTTCCATGGCCCTAAGCATGCTCAGCTTACAAACAAATTAAGTCTCTCGACTTCTGTCAGGCTGTGATCTCTGGCTGGTGGTTGAGTTTGAGGGTCAAGCAACATTTTCCTTTCTTGTGCATCAGAATAAATAGCTCAATAGGACAAACTAATTGGTCTCAGGCAATGAAAGTAAATTTTGTTTCTGCATTAGGAATCCATGCAGTTGTCTCTCAAGACGATCATGGGGACATACTGTTGAGTTTGATCTCTCCTAAAGCTCTGCTAAGACTCCCGTAGAACTGTAAGGAACAAAAAACTAGTAACAAGTTCATGGCACTGAATTAATAAAATAAAACTGGAAGGAAATTTATTCTTTATGTTTAGAGTGAGCAATTTCTTATTATCCACAGTCAATCTATCTTCCATTGGCACCTTTCACTGCGTAGATAAGCACCTAAAAATATACAAAGTGACTTCTCAGAATAGAACTGTGCTTTAATAGTCTGGAAAAAAGGACTGATTTATGGGAAAAGGTGACAAGAACCACATACTTATTGCTTGGCTGCTAAGTGGAGAGCTTTGAAAGGTGCCAGCACGTATCAGAAAGCTGTAAACACCAGGGAAGAAGACACATTATTTCTCTTGAGTTAATAAGATATAACCAGAAGTCATGAGGCAAAGGAAAGATCATGTACGCTATAAGATAGTGTCCCATGGGACGTGGTGAAACACCATCTCTCGAGACATGTAAAACTAGCCTGGGCACAGCCTGTGTTGGCAGAGTATTGCTCAGGATGGTTGTCTTCTGTTCAAAGGACCATAACCAAGTCCAGCTCCTAGTACTCAGGGGGGACTTCTGTGGGACTCGGGCCATTAGACTTTCATGAGGGCCTTTGGCAAAACATTTGCCTTTTCCAACCCTCAAAGAGCCACAGCTCAAGGTTTGTACCTGCTCTGGACTTCAATACATCTGACCATTAGGTCCGGCCTCTCTGCACTGTTTCCTTCCACTGCAGCAATCCCAGGACCGGTGGCAACTCCTTTTTCACACTAACACATACCAGAGCCAAGGGTGGGAGGTGTTTTTTCTTTCTTGGAATTTTAGAAAAAAACTAAAGACTTCCTGACTGCTCTGGTGCTGGAAACAGTTGAAAAATACTGGTGCACCTCTTTGAAAATATGCTTCTTATTCAGAGCCTTTCCGAGCACTTTCTGAAGCTGCAGTTACCTTTTCTCTCTCCTCTGCATCGTAGTTGTCCGGGAAGACAGCTTTACTCTGATTTTCCTCATTGATTTCTCTCTCCTCCAAATAAAACTGCCACTTGGCTTCGAAGTAAAACCAGTGTTCCTGATATTCTGAACGCAAAAGAAATTGATGATGTAGCATTTCATCTCAGCAACATTTTCAGTTCTACTTAAATAAGTTTTAAAGAAAAAGACAGTATTGATTGACCTGAAGAATGGGGTATTTTACAGTAACATACATTAAACAGGCATATGTACTAAGTATGCATTTTAATATGAAGTGGGACATATAACTGGAAACAGAAGATGCGAAAGAAAGAAGAAAATATTTTCGGAGTCTTATGCTATTTTTATGGTATATTAAAATTACATTGAGGTAGATCAAGGTGAGATTTTTAGAGAACTTACTGAGGCACACTCCAAGGAAAAGATAAGAGTCAACAAAAAGAAAGAAAAACATCAATTCTGTGCCAATTTTTATGTTCTTTGACTCTGATTAAAGACTATCTAAATATGCTTGCATGTCCTAAATACAAATTGCCTTCTACCTTGTTACCAATTTTTATTCACATAATTTCTCCAGCATTTCTGTTCTGTTCTTGCAGTATTTCCACGTGATTTTTCAGGAAAAGGCAAATCACAGAATCAGAGAATGGTCAGGGTTGGAAGGGACCTCTGGAGATCATCTAGTCCAACCCCCCTGCCAGAGCAGGGTCACCTACAACAGGTTGCACAGGACAGCGTCCAGGCGGGTTTTGAATGTCTCCAGAGTAGGAGACTCCACGACCTCTCTGGGCAGCCTGTGCCAGTGCTCTGCCACCCACAAAGTAAATAAGTTCCTCCTCAGGTTAAGATGGAACTTCCTATGTTCAAGCTTGTTCCCATTACCTCTTGTTCTAGCACTGGGCACCACTGAAAAGAGACTGTTCTCATCCCCCTGGCACCCTCCCTTTAAGTATTTGTAAGTGTTAATAAGATCCCCCCTCAGTCTTCTTTTCTCCAGACTAAAAAGACCCAAATCCCTCAGCCTTTCCTCATAAGAAAGATGCTCCAGTGCCCTAATCAGGTCTTTCAGATAGGAAAGACTAACATTTCCATTTGCTTATAATACATACCAAATGTAGTAAAAGGGATAAATAACACACACATCTGCCATCTGTGTCCATACAAATGATCCTTTTTTAAGTACCACAGGTCTGCTTTTTCTGTGACTTTAGGAAGAGCATCTCTAATCATGTCCAACTTTGCGCCTGTGAATATTCTTACTAAATTCGGTTTATTTTCAAGCCTATTCTCTTGTTCAACTTTCTTATAAAGGCGCGTAAGTCAAGCTGACCTGTTAAGCACACACGTGTGCGCCTGTCTGCAGAATCAAGGCCTGAGTGAAACCCGGCCTGGGAAGCCGATGGGCTAGGGAATTAGAAATCGGGGAGATGGAAGGACCTCTAACTATGCCAAGGCAAAATAGCAATTCAGTTTGGGACTATTGGAGTATGGTTTACAATAAAATTAAGCGTTGCTGCTTTTTCCCCATCTCTGTCCCGCTTGGTCGCTCAGTTGTGTGCTGCAAGTGGCTGAGGAGCATGCACACAACCAAACTGTTTCTCTGAAGGTTGTAAACTGATTTTGCTTCTTTGCCTGTAGTGCCATACAGGTGACCCTCTTTGGCAATTAAGATTTTTAAAGTGGTTCAACTCCATGTTAAAAAAATCCAAGCTGCCTTGTAGGACCTGATATACTTTCACAAGGTTGCCAGTTCCCCAGCCCCAGACAGGGATGGGCCATCAGCCACATGGCTCTGTATGCCTGCGAATGCCCAGCTGTTTTTTTCGTAAGTCCATGCCCCAGTTTTACCTGATTACAAGGAAGCCATTCACTAGAACCCTAAAAAAAGTGGGTGTGTTTAGAAAACCAGAGTGAAAGTGCATTCACAGCCATCAATCCAAGGAGACCATCTTGAGGAAAAAAAAATCACACGAAAAAAATGTTATTGGCTGAAGTAAACTAGTGACAGCCTGGTTACACCAGCTGGTTCCAAGACTTCTTTTAAAAATGCAGGTGACCCGACAGGTTTCTTTCTTTGTGGCTTTTTTTTTCCTATTTCCCCCATGACTATAAAACAAAAATGCCTCAAAAATGAATGTTTTCTATGTAGCACCTCAACAAGCAAGGAAGAGTGATTATTCCAAAGCACGGGCTCGGGAACAAAGGCATCAAGAAGTTGCAGGAGATTTTGTTTGCGTGGACGACCTGTAGCATGGTCAGAAATCCCACGCCGCCAACCCTAGCGAAGCTCTGCCCCATCCCTTGAGCCCAGCCTGAGATGACGGTCACATTCAGGTCCATGGGACTATCTGGCAAGTAATCGCACCTGAATATCAGAGAGGGCTGCTGAGTCGAGCCCTCTGTGACTGAACACTGTGTTTGTTATCCACAGGGGATAATGCAGCTAAAAAAGAGTTTTCTAAAACTGGAGGACCCTGTTTGGCAGGATTTCTTTGCAGTGCATCTCACCAGCCAAGGAGCTTAACTTTAATGCAGGAGACTTTTCCCGCTACCAAAATAGGACGAAGCTCAACAATACGGGCACTAGCTGGAGAGCGTGCCTCAGGAGTCCAATGCGCATACCTCCACGCCGAGAGGTCCTGCTGGGGTGGAGTGACAGGGACCTGCTGCAAAGCCGCTCCGAGAGGAGCTCTCTCGCACTAATCCTGCACCTGCTCCTCATAGGTCTCGTCTAAAAAAATCCTGGTGCGCAATGAGGCGTGGATGAAAATGCAGGGTCTTTCAGGAAGGCTCCCTGGTGCTCCTCTCAGATTTTAAAGCAGCAACTTTCCTCCCCGGGTAAAGCTTCATTGTTGAGTGCTCTTGAGCAAAGTTTTCCACTTAATTCAATCTTTCTCAGCAGCTGCCCCTTAAGGTTGACAGAAAAACCTCTTTCCTCAATGCTTTAACTTAATGATACTTGTCTGTCCGTGGCAGGTCTCACCGTTACAAACGTGCCACTCACTGGCAAGAGGGGACTAAAATACCTTTGCCCTGAAGATCACATACGTTAGTAAAGTAGCAATATCAAGTTCAGTAGTTGTGTTACACTCCATTGTTTTAAAACAAGGATACAACAGGTTTTATCTTAAATATTTGTTCAGGTTTTATCTTAAATATTTGTTCAGAAAAGCAACAATCAAATCTGAATTTGTAGTCAAAACCTAAGTTTTGGTCAGGAGGCATCTGCAAGTGAGCTTTTCCTGGAAAAATGAGGAATATCAGTAGGTTTGCTTATGGAAAATATCGGACTGTGCTAATTGATGTAATAATTCATATCTCAGCAGTCAGTTTACCTAGTAACCTGCTGAATACCATTTCCTCCCTCACCCCTGCCCAGCAATCTTTGAAGACTTTCTAAAAATAAAACTGTGCAGTAGGGCATTATCATTGCTATTTCTCTTCGTTATTTTTGCCACCAATATACCAGATACCTAACGGATGTTAGAAGGTGGTGGCACCCCCTGTGCAGAGCTACAGTTTGAGCAGAGAAAGCAGGAGGACAGAGAGTGGAGATGGGAGCAGGGAGGGAAGCAGCAAAAATGGAGATCCTGGGGAGTGACATTTCTCCAGTGTCTTTCTAGCTGAACATACATTTAAGAAAAAAACTCTTTTGACTCAGACACATTACCTGCCATGTGGCGAATGGTCTTCTTGCAGTATTCTTCAGCCATCGGCACAACCTTCATCATTTCTCTTCCCCACTGCACAAGGGGTTTCCCTTGTATTGCGTACGCCACAAAGAGAGCTGTGCAGAGGGACCCTAGAAAGCCTGGAATTTGTAGATAACCATGATTATAACCATGATTATAGTAGATAACAATGCGCTGTCTGCGCTCTTATCATCCTTGTCATGTCCTTCGTAAAATCGTTAGTGGAATGCCTCATTGCGTTTGGGTAGATTAACGAATGCACGTAACCTACCTCCGCCTGCTTGCAGGCTGGCTCACGGCCTGTTGAGATTGTTGGCTGCTGTGTGGTGCCCGTTGGTTTACAACTTATTTTACACAGAAGGGAGCTTCTGTTCTCGGTGGTGTAACATGACAGAAATTGAGGTAGGGGTCAAAAATAAACATCATCCTCTAATGTCATACTGAAAATCTTCTAATTGAAGTCACATGAAATAATTGACTTGTGCAAAGTGATTCGATTACAAGCTGTATCTCCTTGCTTACAGAGTCATCCAGCTCAAGAGCTGTGGTTGTTAGATCTAACACTATTTCTGGCTCATTTTACTCTTAAGGGGACAAGTCCATGTCTTACTTGGACAATTGCTTCTTTCCTCTAGGGGCACAAGCCCATGTCCCCTCAGAGGAAAGAAGCAGTTGTCCAAGTAGGACATGCTGTCTCCCTGCCTAGATAGGTCTTCCACTTTGGATACAAATATAATTAAGATGAACTTTCTGTTAATAGGCACTCAGCGTTTCCACGACGTCAGAAGCCGAGGGGCTCATTTCTCATATTTGCTTGTGCTCTTGGCATTCTGTCAAAGGTAACAAAACCGACCCAGTGCAACATGCAAAAGAAGGTTAAGAAAACAACTCAGTCATTCAAATAAGCCCCAGGTGAGCACGGTATTGATGTGTGTGCTTCTCCCAAAAGCATTCACTCATACATAGAGGTAAGCATGAACTTTGTGTTCTTTGCTGAAGGTAAAACCAAATCATTTTAGGAGGCTACAAGTCCAGAAGAGGATTACTCATTCTTTCTGCCATAAGACCTGCAATACTGGGTCAGGCCAAAGGCATGTCTAACCCAGGATCCAATAGACGCTTTCAGAAAGAATAAAAAAACAGCTCAAAGGGTCTCACTCAGATAGACGGCATCTAACCCAACTGCCGTAAAGCTCCTTGAGTGTCACATTCAGCGTGAGCGTGGCAGCAGAGGGTTTAGAGGGTGAAGCAAAGAGCTAGCAGGGAGCAGTGGGTGGTGAAGAGGGTGACAGAGGCTGGGACATGCCCAGAAGGTTTTTTTTGAGGGGCTCGCAATCTTTTATTGCCCGCTTCCCAGGTAGTAGCCCCCCCCTGCTGCTATTGCCCTTCTGGCAGCCCTCACATAGCCTCTGCCCCTCACGGGGGAGGAAAGCAAGCCCCAGCCAAGGCCTCTGACTCTGCTTAGTAATGCCAGTACAGACTGAGCCTAATTGGTTTGGCTGTTCTGCTCTCCAGAGCTTCTGGACTAGCTTAGGGGCAATTTTAATTACACAGCTTGATTGCTTTTAACAGCAACAGCTCTTCTTGTCCGCTTGCCTGATCCCTTTTGAACCCAGGCGTTTCTGTGGACTTTGCAGCTGCCTGTAGCAGCGAGGTCTGCAGCTTAACTGTGCACGATACGGGGAAGTATTTCCTTTGTCTGTCTGTTTCAGTCCTGACTGACATGCCAATTGGGTTTCCCCTGTCTTTGAGTTATGACAGTCACAACTGACATTCCCCTGGCACGTTTCAGGATGGTAGTGAGGTCCGTGGTGGCCCTTCCACCCCACTCCTCCCTGCCACCCCACCACGCCACTTGTCTCTTTTCCCAGTTGAAAACTCCTTCTGGGTGTAATTTCTCCTTGTACGGAAAGCTTTTGATGACTTGAATGCTCCTTGCTGCCATTTTCTGGCTCTAGTAAATTCTTTCTGAGGTGGGAGACCCAGAACTGCAAGCAGTCTTGCTGCTGCTAATGCACCATGGACTTTATATATTGGCTTCACGATATTTTCTGCTTTGCTTTGAATTCTTTTCCTCTAATTTTATTCCATCCTGATGGCTTTTCTGACTGCTTCAAAGCACTGAGTGTGTTGAACATGTCACCATTCATTATGGTTTTATTTATTGCTGTTCAAAGCAAGCAGAATGAATACATGCTTACATAGCATATAATTATCAGAATGACAGACCTGAATATTCAAAACATTAAATCTACTTATTTAAGTTTTGTTTAGAGACTGTTTCAGATTGTGTCCTAAAATATGTGGAGTTAGGGTTTTTTGGCATTCTACCTTTAGCTACAGTGATATGACAAAACCTGTCAAAAGAAAAATGTTATTATCCCCTGAACCATAAACTTGCATGTTAACAGCAAGTCATCTAGGTGTACATGAATCCTAAGATTCGATCAGAGCAAGTGACATGAATATGCTTTGGACAAGGTGGGTTGTGTTTCCTTGTTGGGATATTAGGAGGGAAAACTCCTATGCCTGAGGCTGCTGTTTGTGTAATATGCAAGCAAATATGTAAGCTTATGTAAGTAATATATACGTGTATATACTATCCAAGCAAAATTCAAACCAAGGCCTTGGAGTCTGCAAAGCAGAAGCAATTCTAGATATGATGCTTAGGGACATGGTTTAGTGGTGGTTTTGGCAGTGTTAGGTTGATTGTTGGACTCGATGATCTTAAAGGTCCCTTCCAACTTAGACAATTCTATGATTCTATGGTAGTTTAACCAGGTGAATCCACAAGAGCCGTGCTAGTCCCCACAGAAGCGAAAAGTGGCATTAGGGACCTCAGCGTGCCAATACGTCAGTGGACATTACCTGTGGGATGGTTATGAGTCATTCGTCCACACTCAATGCTCACTTCGATAAGTGACTCCAGCCTTTCTGGCTTCCAGTATCGCATCCCTAAACACATGGCTTTTGTTGACGCTCCAAAACCAGAACCTAAAATAAAAAGATAGTGCAAGCATTTAAGAGGAGACTAATGATACATAAACAAGTTGATAAAATGTGAAACAAGCACATTTTATTAATTCAACTCATGTGTGGGAACTCCTCAGGGAGTGGGAAATAAGCACGCAAAGTGAGTTACAAGTTTTGGAAGGTTCTTGTGAGGAATTTTGCTTCTGCACATTCTGGTTTTACAGGTATATCCCAATACCCTCAAGTGCTACGAAGAGTATAGCAGGTTCAGAAAGCAGCGTGCTCTCTAGTTCACAACACTTGTTTGATTCAAAGTCTTATGCCATCTCTACTCATTCTCGGCTGACACCGCTATTTTGCTTGCTCCAGATGCCAGCACTAGAAACAGAAGTTTGAGAAACAGACACTTTTACTACACCCTTATTTTAGTAGTCTTCATGCTGAAAGCACATGATTAAAACACTTTATATGAGCATCACAGTTGATCTTACAATTTTAATGCATGTTTCATCCTAGAGATCCCCACTGGTAGTTCACAAAATAGTTTCTTTCACATACAAAAATAATGTGTCCAAAAAGAAACTGAAGGCTACAGAGGCAAATCCTCCAAATTTAGGCAATGTCAGAACTGAGGTTTCCCGTGCAACCTGAAGTCCGTGCTTGTGTGGGCACACATGATGGTACATCCTGCACTTACTGAGCTTGGTCTTGGGAATTTCTGCCTTGTGCAGCGCAGAGTTTATTTATTGAATAGCTAATTCAGTATTTCTTTTAATCCTCAGCACTGAGTGCGTGATCCTAGGTGTTCAACTTTTAAACACTTCATTGAATGGAGAGTTAAATTTACTAATGAGTTTCTCTGCAGTACTTATCACAGTAATATCAGGATCCCACAGAAGTTTTAATGAGCTTATCTTCACAAGGCACCAGTGAGGTGATTATCTCCTCTTTGCAGCTGGTGAGCCAATGCCCAAAAAAGCATTAACTCATTGCAGGCACCCACCCTGAGATGGGTAGGGTTCGATTTTTCAAAGTGCTTGGCATTTTTCAGCACTGTCTTTGCTCAATCACACGTCCCAGTGACCTTGGGTATAGCTGAGAGCAATCAGCATTTCTCTATCCTGGAAGATAAGGGGCATATTTATGCCACCTAATTTTAGCTTCTGTGGAACCTGCATTAAAAGCACGGTCTCCCTGTCTTTCCCAGATAGGCAGTGTGGAGAACAGCTGTATCTCCGTGAGCCAGTACGGTGGTGTAGTAGGAGCAATTCATTGGCCAGAGTGAATTGAAGCAGCAGATGCCTAGGACCCAGGGTCAGGGCTTTTAGACACCTATCTTGAGAAGATCCCTCAGCTGCTCCCCTCGGCTGTGGCCGCTGGTGCAGAGCAGCAGGAGCTCTCTTGGAGCACTGATTTCCATTGTGTCATCCCAAGCTGCTCCAGCTCGGGTGTCCTAAAATCATGAGTGTGATCAAAGTGTGGTAGTGGAGATGGCAGGAAGATTTACTTCAAGCCAAACTGAAGCCTGAGCCAAACTAACATAAGCCACCCATTGGTATGTCCAAGTGCAATCCAGACCAAGCAGGATCCGAATTTCAAGAGAAGAGCTCTTCTTCTCCACAGACAGCAGCTATCCTGAGTGAGCACCCTGGTTAGGTGATCTAACTAGGTTAGCTGAAGACGTTTCTTTCCTTCCTCCTCAGAGTCTAATGTGCAAATTTTGCATGCAATATCTCTTCCAAAAAAACCAGACCAAACACCTGATAAACGTGACATGAAAGGGTTTGCAAAATACCATTTTATGCCCCTCAAGCTCAGAGCTTGCTTCCTCGTCCCTTGCTCACCTTCCTGATCGCAGTGAAAGGGGCCCTCTCCAGAACACCTTTGGCCACTGCCCCTCATGAAAAGTCTGGATATTTGTTCTGCAAATGGTGTGTTTGCTCCTGTACCTCACATATACTGCAGCTGTAGTGCCTGGTTATTAAGGAGCCAGGAGCAGATAAAACTGTCTGCCTATCCCACAAATCACATAGAAACCTCAAGGAAAAGTCAGGAAAGAAATCCAGTCTTCCAGAGCACCAGTCAGCTTAACTGGGAGAACATATCTTCTGCTTGCAAGACCAAACTCTTCATTAAACCATCTGATGCCATGGAGCAGCAGATGAGAGTCATCTTCACTGTGCTGTCCTGGTTCCTCCAAATGACACAATCTGTGCTGGTTATCCAAGAGGGAAGGGTGTTGTGCTACACAGAACTCCTAATTGAATAACATCTCTTAGTATATCCAAAGTGGAGGATGCACAGTAACCTGACTGCTAGTTTGAAGGAGCTTAACTTTGCAACTTCGTTGTGTTCCTCCAGTCTAGGAAGTTACATTAAAACCTTCTGCATAATTAGACAAGCAAAATCTGCAACAAAAAGTTCTGTCACATGGAGTAACATTAAGTCTAGACAGGGCTTCAGGTGACAAGTGTCTGTTAGCTCCCATGTCTCAGTATCTATCGTTTGAATCAATGAAGTAAGGGACAGCAAGACTAGTCCAAGCAACAGGTGAGACACGTGTAAGGACTGTCCTCCATGATCAGAAAAAAGGTCAACATAACTTATTGTGTCTGACAGTGGCCAATGGAGAGGATACTTAAGAAAAAGAAAGGTACAATGCTACCCCTTTGTACTAACTAAGCTGCTGACAATTTATCACCCTGATCTGGGAGGCAGCTGGCTATTTGCCATTCTGCTTAATAACCCTTGAAGGATTTCCCTTGGGTGAATTTGCCCAGCCCTTTTTTGAACTCACATGAACTGTAGCATCTGCAAATTGCCACTGGAAAATAGTTGTGCCTCTTAATTAGGTGTGTGAAGAAGTCCTTCCTTTTGCTTGCTTTGAACTCATGACCTGCCAGTTTCATTTGAAGTCTCTAGTTCCTGTGATGGAGGAAACAGTGAGTTTTCTCTGTCCCTATTCATGTTCTCCAAGCTATCTATGACTTTACAGTTCTCTATTCCATAGTCTCAGACATCACAGCCTATGGAAGCATCTTTGTACTAATCCAGCCGTCCTTTCTCATATCCTTTCTAGTCGTCTTAGATCCTCTTGAGGGGAGACAAGAACCAGATTACATACAGTAATCAAGAAACAGCAGCTATGGATTTATACAGTGGTGCCAACATGTTTTGTGTTTTGCTCTCTGTTACTTTCTCAGTCGTTTCTAACAGTCAATTTGCTCCCTGGTTCTTACTGAGCATTGAAGTAACATTATTCTAGAACTACTATAGCTCCACCATCCCTTCACTCAATGGTAACAGAATCAGCAACTGCAACTATGCATATAAAATTAGGATTTCCCCCTGCCCCGCCCCTGACCTCCCTCTGTGTATGACTTTTCATTTATCTTCATCTTTTGATTCTGCTACTGTGCAACAGTAGTAACTCTTCCACAACTCTGCATCATACTACTTTTGACTTCGTTGACCCACTATGCATTTGCATTTCCAGATAGTTTGTGGACATGTTGAATAACAGAGGTCCAACACAGGTACCTCCTCTTCTATGGAGAAGACAGACTGCAATCTCTTGTTCTTTATTTACTGTCTTTTAATAAGTTGTCTATCCTCAGGAGTACCTTTCCATCATCCTGTAGCAACTTAGTGCCTTATCCCTTGGTGCCTTTTGTGAGGGACCTTGTTGAGTGTCTTTAGGAAGTCCTAACAGACCATCTTCACAGTATCTCCTTTTTCTTCCCATTTCTTGGCTACTTCATGAGTTTTCTAATAAATTTCTGCGGTGACTTCTCTTCACAAAAGCTATGTTGACAGTTTCTTCTTACACCATTTTCATTCATGCACGACATTGTTCTCTGTTAGTATGTAATATCTCAGTGTGCTTTTCTTCACTCTACATACATAGAATTGTAAAGATCAGCTTAATGGCTGCTGTCCCTGAAGAGGATGTGTCTTTTGTGACTACAGACAGTTCTGCATGAGAAGTTAGAACCTGGCCCTTTTATCTCCTGTCCCTCCGTGGCTTATCCTTCATTTTTGCTCCCCAACTTTCTGCATTTAACTCATACTTTTTCCTCATGCTCCTCTAGCTATGCCACCAGCAAAAAGACACCATTCTCAAGTGCTACTAGGAAGCCCTGCAGCTGCCCTGGTAGCTGCAAATAAAGACCGGCTTGGGTGCTACAGCCTCAGCCTGAAATACATATGATACGGGTAGGGCCAAGCTGCCATTTGACTGGACTTCAGCAGCGGCTTCGAAGGCACACCTCTGTCTCAAGGAGTACCAGCTTACTCAGATTTTGGTTCCAACTCTCAAATGTCAGAGATTCTCTTCTGAACAATTTAAGTTTTTAGCAATGGAACAAAACATTTTTACCATGTTTCAGAAACAGTGGACTCATCTGCATCAAAATCTTAAACGAATGCTGACAGAGGCAAACAATCAACAGTGAAAATTTGAGCCTCGAGCTTAACCATGTCATAAATTGGAAACAAGCCTTGGGCGGGTCTTCTGGTCGTTACAAGAATCTCACCAGCCTTTAACATAATTCAGGTATGTCTGCAATGAGTGTGGCAAGGAGCATGACATGAGGTGGCAAAGAGACACACAGGGCATTTCGACTTAAGAACTCAGAACTCAGTGTGCTGACTATACCTGCGTGAATTTGAGCAGAGGAGCTTCATGTACGCAATGAGAAATTACCTAAGCTACAATTTCTCAGCTACCATTTCTAATTACCTAAGCTACCATTTCTCAGCCTGGAGAAGAGAAGGCTCTGAGGAGACCTTATTGCAGCCTTCCAGTACCTAAAGGGGGCCTACAGGAGAGCTGGGGAGGGACTTTTTACTAGGGCATGTAGTGATAGGATGAGGGGGAATGGCTTTAAACTGGAAGAGGGCAGGTTTAGATTAAACATTAGGAAGAAATTTTTCACTTTGAGGGTGGTAAGGCACTGGAACAGGTTGCCCAGAGAAGTTGTGGAGAACCCATCCCTGGAGGTGTTCAAGGCCAGGCTGGACGTGGCTTTGGGCAACCTGGCCTGGTGGGAGGTGCCCCTGTCCATGGCAGGGGGCTTGGAACTCGATGATCTTCAAGATCCCTTCCAACCTAAACCATTCTATGATTTCACTGGTCCATGAAGGCTGGCACATGAATTCTTGCTCAAAGTGAGGTAAGATAAAATGACCACAGGAAACCAGCATTTTGGTTCCAGCCCATCCAAGATATGACCCAACTGCTGGGCATTCAGCGCCCACGGAATGTTTTTGCCTTGAGAAGAAAGTTGTGAAAATTCAATAAAAAAGTTAATTATGTCCATAGCAGTGTTAGGTGCCCCAGTAGGCTGAACATCTCTACCCCTGCTCACTGATTCTTCTGCTCTCATGGTGAAAAAAAGGCTTCTTGAGATGTTCAGGATGGTATTTGTCAGACCAGATGGAGAAGGAAGGTTTTAGCTGCCAGGTCTCCAGGTAGGAATTAATTTTAGGTCATTCTAGCCCTGAGGATCCCAAAAGCAAATAGTTCATCATGGAAAGCTGGGGAGGAGGAAGGCTAAAAGAAGAGGTGTGGCTCTAACACAGCAATGGACTGGGGAACAGCCGTGATCCACTGGTGGAAGTGTCGAGAGCTGCTCAGGGCCACCGTCAGCTCCCACAATTATTTTGACCGAATTTTACTCACTGTCAATCAGAAGACGTATGACAAGTGCCAAAGGGGCACTCTCTCAGATGTGCCTGGCTAATAGCAGGGTGAGCTGAATAAATGGGGAGAGGATCCTTTCCCCCCCCAGCAGCTGTTGTGAGGAGCGGGGGCTGAGTGAGGGATGCTTTTTGTGTCAGAGCGAACTGACTGCAGAGACCCAGAAATAGCCATGGCACTGTGCCGCCGGGTCTTTGCCACGACGTTGCATCAATATGCAATGCTGTTGAGCAATGCCGCTACGTACGGCAGCAGTAGAGCATCGTACCGATACAGCGCTACGTCTGCGGGAGCTGCCATTGTCTTGTGGCTGCTCAGGTCTACCTCCTCCTCTGACAATGATGTGGTGTCTCTGCAGTCTTTAAAGATTAATTGCACTGTATGGGTATATGTGTATGGGCGTGCACGTAGCTGTATGCATGCTATTTAACTTGAAGTAGAAATTCAATTCATCATAAAAGGAAATTATCATAAACAGAAAGAAAGAGAAAGGGAAACAAGGATGAGAATATGAGGGATTATCAGCAAAACAGTCATAGTTGTTAGCAGGGCTTCCACCTGGAGGGAAGTCTCTGCTTTCTCTGCTCTATGCACCAACACATCAGTGCATAGAGCATTTCACAGGCTCAGCTTTTTGTTTCAGATCTGCCATCGCTGAAAAGATCCAAGACTACAAACATTTAAATGAAAAATGGCAGAAAATATTTCTTAAAATAACCATCAAACTCAAGGACAAAGATCTGGACCCCGAGGCACAGAGCCAAGAACAAAGTCTCTTTAAATAGATGTTAAAGAGGGAAGGGTTCATTTACGAGAGGACATAGTGCCCTACAGAAGGAATTCCTGGCAGATCTCTTGCCATCCTCAGGCAAACATGGAAACGTTTCAGGGGTAGTAGCCTTTGATGTCAGGGGGGAAAAGGAAACAATTTCCATATAGCCACAAACACTGAAAGCATGCATTATTCAAGCCAGGACCTATAAATGGAAAGCGGTACCGCACCCTTTTCATTGAACGGTGTGTGCCAAGCGAGAAGGTAGTTGTCTGGTTTTAATTCCCTGCAGCCTTCAATGGTCGCGGGGTCCGGCCGCCTCCCCGAGAGCTTGTCGATAGCATCCACGTAGCGTTTTACCAGCTCCCGGTAGAGGTCTTCTAAACACCAGTAATCTGCTCAGAGAAGGGAAGAGAAGGTTGCTGTGTGAAGGCAGAAAAGCAAGAGAGCTCTGAAAACAAACAGCCAAGCTCACCATGCATTTAAAAAGTGCTCTTATTTCCACTTCCAATACACCGTATTGTGTTTCTGCTGCCACTGTCAACACGTTTCTACACAGCATGGGAGCTGGCTGGAGGGAGAACAGCCTCGGCTCTCTCTTCTCATCTTTTCCTGCGTTTTACTTTCCACTTTTAATTCCTTTAATTGGAAAGATGAAGGCATTCAGCTCATCAAGAGTAGCTGCTCAGGGGCTTTATTTAGGCTCCACAGTGTGAAGTATTTACAGAGGTGTCTAACTGTAAGGTGAGTGTGTTGCTGCCGTGGCCCTGGGTGTGCGCAGGAAGCCAGCTGTGCCTGGCTCAGCCCCGGCATTTGCAGACACGAATCCAATTTAAAAATGAAAGCCTATTTTGTTTTTTTAATCACCACTGAATTATTTTAAAGAGGTATGTATGACTAAACACAAAAGCAAATTAGTGATATTATTTTTATGGTGTATTTTAGAAAAGCAAATTAGTGATATTATTTCTATGCTGTATTTTATATTTATTTTTTCTAAAATTTGTAGGTCTTTCATGCAGGGATCCCTATATCTTATGTCAGTACAGTAACCAGGCCAGCGAGCTTTTATAAAAATTATTATAAAGATCAGTAAGAGTAGTAAACTGCTACAGTCTATAGTATTTCCAGCCGATAAATTTATCTCTGGATTAAGTTCATTAACAATATCTGTTTATTGATTATTTTTGCCAAAGCCTGCAGTCTTGCCTAAGGAAGAACCTCCCACCTGTTAAACATATACTGTTTCTTCAGTATAGCTGCTTCTCTCGGCTGCTGTTGTGTGTCGCTGGGCTTGAAGAGCCCTGTCCTCGGCTTTTGCCGAGGAAAAGCTTCCACTGGCATCTATTACAGTTGTGTAATCAGTGGGAACTGAGGAGACCGTCGGGATTTGTCCATATATATCTTTCTATGTACTTAGAGAAACCCCATTTAATACTTGGTTTGACGCACAGATTGAATAACACAGGAGGGGGAGTTCTTCTAAAAATATCCTCATTTTGTCAAAGATGGTGATTTCTTGACATCCACAGAAAAGGTTTAATTTAAGAGAAAGTTTGAGCCCTGTAAACCACAGCCACTTGAAAGTATCAGTTATTCAGACAGGTGAATAAAGGGGATGCAGCATAAAACCAAGATTCTCCTCCTTTCTCATAAAAAATACCCTGTCCATTATGCCATCCATCCCACATACAATCCCAGAGGAACAAGATACTTTCAAGCTGCTGACTCTTTCCACATTTAGGAATCAGGTGTCAGTTTATCCGGATGGGAGCCAGGAGCAGGATTTACCGCCTGGCAGCTTCTGCAGAAGCCTTGTCCCCAGAGGCAGAGTCCCTGTGGTCCAGCATCCCCGGGCTGTCCGAGCCCACCACCCTTCTCGCACCTGGAGCCAGGCTGCCGTCTCAGCCGTCAAGTCAATAGGACAGGTTCTTTATTTAGAAATGAACCCTTATTTTTTTTTTAAACCCATGTTTAAGTCAGAAAGGAAAAGGCTTTCCTTGCTGCAGTGATAGTTCCCCGGCTTTTCATAGAATCATAAAATGGTTTAGGCTGGAAGGGACCTTGAAGATCATCGAGTTCCAACCCCCCTGCCATGGGCAGGGACACCTCCCACTAGACCAGGTTGCCCAAGGCCACGTCCAGCCTGGCCTTGAACACCTCCAGGGGTGGGGCCTCAACAACTTCTCTGGGCAACCTATTCCAGTGCCTCACCACCCTCACAGTGAAAAATATGTTCCTAATATCTAATCTAAGTCTACCCTTTTCCAGTTTGAAGTCATTACCCCTCATCCTATCACTACATGTCCTTGTAAAAAGTCCCTCCCCAGCTCTCCTGTAGGCCCCCTTTAGGTACTGGAAGGCTGCAATAAGGTCTCCTCAGAGCCTTCTCTTCTCCGGGCTGAACAACCCCAACTCTCTCAGCCTTTTGATGATGCTGTTTTCATTCCTCCCTTATGAGACAGATTCCTACTGGAAGTAGATGTTTCATTTATCCTTCATTGTGGGATCAAACTTTCAGTCCGTGCACATGGCAGATTTGGGGACCACCAGCTCAGTCTGCAGCAGTGCCCACAGCCCTCCCCCCTCTCCCCCCCTGCTGCTTCTGGCCATGACCCTCCTGGCACGTCTTCCATGCAGCCAGCGAAGTATAGGCCAAAATTGCCTCCCTGGCTGAGAACTGCCTTAGTCCTTAACACAAAGCTCCACCTCACGCTTGGCTGCTGCCGCAGCCTCAGGCTGGGAGCGCTCCCCAGGGCAGTGCCCCGGTGATGGGACTTCACGGTGATCCTAAGCCCTGGGCATGTCCATCTCAGGCTGCAAACATCCCGCATCTACCTGGAGGGGTGCACCCAGGGGATGCTGCCACCAGATGGGTGAACGGGACATGTGGGGTACAAGGCAGTGGGGGACAGGAATATTTTTTGCTTATTTCCCCTCATTTTTCTCTTTTTTCTTTTTCTTTTTTTTTTTTTTTTTTTGGCTGGTAACGTTTCAAGCACCCAATATATTCTTTAAAGTCTCAGACTCCAGCAGCAAGGGGTCCCCACCACACAGGGAAGGCAGCTCCCCAGGGGTGGTAGCAGCTGCCTTCAGCCTCACGGACCCACGTTCATCTTTAGCTTCACTCTGTTGACTTGGGTGATTTTGCACGTGGGCTGGGCCATGATCAACCCCAGTGGCTTTTTGGCGTTCCCCTTGACAGGAGGAGACACCGCTGTGGGCAGGAGTGGTTCTGTTCCCCTTGTGGGAAGCAGAAAGAAGGACTCGCTTTCCCCCGTTCACCAGCGTTAACTATGAAATGACAACTTCTTCTTAAAATTCCGCACACCACCTTGTTGCTTTCTCACCAGCCCATAGAAGCACCTTTTTAAAAATCTTGTCTGATCAGGCCAAAGAAATGAGAGTGTGCGATAAACACAGCTGATGAGAGTTACAGCTGAGACTTTTTTTCTTTAGAGCCACAATGGTCCTGTTATATTTAAGAAATAAGATTTATTATTTTACTATTAGTCTAACCGGCTTGATTACCCAGAAGTTCTGGTTCTAGAGAGTTCAATAAGCAAGAAACACAGGATACGTATTTAATCATAGCCTATATTCAGAAATATGTTAGTCATCTTTTTTCTTGATAGGCTGACATCTTGCCCTTATCTTTAGTGTATTAGCTACCCCTTAAACCATTGGTTAGCTAATAGCCAAGCATGAAGCGTCCAACACACTCTTCAACTGATCTCTACATACTAAATTTAGAGCAGATTGGAAGCAGGCGGATAAAGTGGTGAAACAGAAGCACAAGGGAAATTTCATTGACGCGAAGCTCCATTGTGAGCTTCTGCTACTGTTAGTTATCCAGTGTTCCGCATGTTGAGAAAAATCAGGGATGTTTTTACAGAGATTAAAAAATTGGATTCGTTCTGAAGAGGCAAAATATTGCTGAATGGTCACTGTGTTCTGGTGTGCTTTTGACGATGATCTTGCCAGTCTCAGAAAGCTCTACTCCAATGGGTAGGGTGTCGATATAAATATCATCACACCTTACAAAAGATTATTCCTGCCTTCAGAGAAACCAAATGTTCTTTTTCAAACTATTGTGATTTTAGAAGACACAGATTAATAACTGCCACTAATCTGAAAGGCTTTATTATAAACATAGTAAGTTAGAATATTTTTTTGGACAAAAGACACACAGCTCTCCTTAAAAAGCAAATTGTTCCATTTCTGACCAGGCAGGTGCAACGCTTTGCCCGAGGGGCAGCAAAGGGGAGAGAGTCTGAAAGACAGGATTTTAGCCTGAAAGAGGTATTAACGTGACTCTACTCCAGCCTGGAATTCTGAACATAAACATGTCAAAAATGTGCTTAGAAGAGCTCTTATCATTTACAGAAGGATTTCTAGTGGCTATATTATTCCCTGCTGTGTTCCAGTGTGCAGATAATCTACTTAGCAATTATTTTTTTATGCTGGACATATGGTATTTTAGTCTTTAAGCTTCAACCAACTGTATAAACCAAGTGAAAATATAGGGAGAGCCCCTCCACACTCAAGAAATCAAAACTCCCCAATTTGCGTGACGATTGCAAGATTACGCTCATGGAGGAGACAAGCCAATGCACATTATCATGCACGTAAGCGGCATTTCCGACACACTTTCTCACGACGCCCCCAGCACTCAGGCTTATTCTAAGAAACGCAGCAGCTTGGCAATTTTGTTCCTTTCCAGACTGCATTCGCTAGTCCCGCCGTACCTACCTGTGATGACAGCCTCCGCCGTAGCCATGTGCATGAGCGTGTTGTCACTTACTGGCCACTTGTCGGGAGAGAGCACCAGGTTCTCAAGCCCTCCAATTTCCTTCAGCTCCTGCTGGATTTTTGCACCTAAGGCATTGTTTTCCCGGGAGAAATTGCGATAACCAAGAGCATCCCCTACCCCAGCCAGCACAAGCGCAGCCTTAAATTTATCCATCCCCGGGACACCTTCCGCTTTCCTTTTGTCCGAGACTGCCACCGAATCTTGATCTTCCTTTGTTCCTTTGCCTTCGGCTCAGCTCCCCCGACACTTTATATCAGCCATTGTGTCACACCGAGAGCGCTCTCTATAAGGAAAGGACTTCCTTTTCTGGCTCTGCAGATGCCATCTCTTGTCCCGGCCCCAACGGAGAGGAAATATTTCATCACCCAGGGATTTTGCAGGGGCTTTGTTCAATGAAACTGCAAGAGCAGACCCGCAAAGCAAAGTGCAAACCCCTCATTTCTGCAACCCAGGGTAAAGCAAGCCAGGGAATCCTTTGCCCTCCCCAGCGTAAGTAACTCTACACCCAGAAAAACAGATGCCTCCACCAGGGTGTTTGTTTATTTAATAACTTGTAAATTAATATATTTTCCTGCCCTTTTTCCGATACGCTGGATTCAACCTCCCCTTCAGGCACCAGTCAGAAGGAAAGCCTGTGATGAAAGGAGTTTCCAAACTCCGTAAACACTTAGAATGAGGGGTTAGGCAGCAACAAATCTAGTCGAATGCAGACGACTTCTCCCATTTCTAATTGCACCCTATGGCGATATTTTGTCAACAGCTTTCTTGCTCTGTTCCACCTATTACAAGAATGTTTTGCTAATTCGCTGCACCCCTGGATAAACGCTGAGCAAAACACCAACTTCAATCCCACACCTCTTACTCCCTGACTTTTTCCTAAGGCTGAGCTCAGGTACAGCCCACATTTGGACTCTGGAAGGAAACTATTTTGAAAGACATCTTGCAATGGCATCCTGTGAGTCTAAGAAAGTTCATGTATGAAGAAATCTCAGTTGGTAACAACGGAGCTTTATTAATATCACCCTTTCAAACTTGATACTAGTGCATTTATGTGCTTCATTCTGTTATTGCAGTTTTTTTCTGTGCTTGTGCCATGCACCGCAAGAAGAGGCTCTGTAGTCTGGCAGCCTTTTAAACTATGTTTTGGCCACAAACAGATCTCTGTGTAGGCTGAACATCTTCCTTCAAGGGGTCTGCTGAGACTGACTCTGATCACAGTTCCGAGCCACCATCCATGCTGTCCTAAAGACTCACAAAGTACTACTAAACAGAAAGCTTTCATTGGCTTGACTGTAATTTTGATAAAGGATACCCGGGGAAAGGTTTTTATTCTTCTTTGATCTTTTTCAGAAAGCAATACTCATTGCTATTCAGATGGAAAAGGGCAGCAGTGTAAAGGATGCATCCTCTTGCCACCCAGGACAGTAAGCAGTTAACCATGGCCTGAGTTATTGACACGTGTAGAAATATCACTGTACTTCACAAGAAGCCTTAATGCCATTTCAGAACAGATAAGCATCGCCACCCCTATTCTACATTGTAAGAAATAAGATGCCAAAGTGGTGAAAGTGGTCTCTGTTAGTACACTCTTGTTTTGAAGATTAGGACTTGGGTAACAGAAGTGCTGAGTATTAAGAAGAGGACACTGAGAGTGTGTCTTCATTGCTAGGAAGGAATAACTCTGAACTAAAAAAGCACAAAAAAGGGAATTATGGCTGAGGATACCAGGGGCACTATATAGGGATCAGAGGAGACGCGAGGCCGAGCATTCTATAGTGCGGCCATGGCCAGCCTGTTCTGGACACGCCTTGCCACGAGCAGTGAGGATGCCAGCCCCTCTGCCCTGCACGGCCGTGGGAACAGGCATCACTGCCCGCAACCGGGGCATTTAAGCAACGTAGGGATAATCTTAGTCACCCCTGCAACTGTCAGAGTTACCCCAGGTTCTGCGTGTCTGAAAATGAACACTCAAAATGGAAAAAATCTAAGGCCAAGGCAGCTTACAAAAGCCACACCAGGCAGAAGCACCGATGCTGATGTCTCCGTTAGAGGTCCATGTACCCTTCTGCGGAACCCACCTCTTCTCCAGTCCCACAGAGCATTATGATTTGGAAGCACGTGGGAAGCGGAACTTGCAAAGCAGGGACGGGAGAAAACGCCTGCTGAGGCACCACAGCCAGCCAGTAAGGGCCTCATCAGATGGAAGGTTCCTTCCTGAAAATGGGCAAAGCTATTCTTAGTTTTCCATTTATCTCTTCCTTCTGAATGTGGCTGGCAGTTGCACTGCCCTTTTGCCTCCCGTGGACTTCACCCTGTTGCACGCACACTTGGCTGCTCGTAACAGCCCAAATTAGGAATAAAATCTTCAACTCTAGAAATAAGGCTATAATGAAAACCCAGAGAAGATTTCAATGAAGTTCTATTTTTCAACTCTGCAAAGCGGAACATGCAACGAAGAATTATCTTCCATTTAATTTGTTAATTGCATATGATCTTTTCATGCAGTACTTTCAGACCCTATGAGCTTTTTGGGCAGAGTTAGGTTAGGCACACTAATATCTGATACCCATACTTCCCACAAAGGAGACAATTATTTGTAAAATATCATGCTTGCATATCTTAAACACAGCCAAAATACAACAACTCTTGTTAAGATAATTATTCACTTACACACATCTACAGTAGGAAAAAAAAAAAAAGTAGAGCTGGCAAAAGGTGTTTGACAAATGCTAAATCAGATAAAAATGCAGCTTTGGTGACCTCTCATTAGCGTACATATGACTGCTTTCAGATGGGGAGAATCCAGGAAAAAGGAATGGGAAGGCAGGACAGAAAAAAAGACTTCTTTGTGTTGATGGCAACACATTGTTTCAGCTCAACTGCATTTGAAACCCTGTATGAGAAGGTGAGAGCATGCCTTCAGCAAACGGGGCTCCACCTGCCTCCTCCACCTGAGATGAGGCAAATCAATGATCTCCACCACCCAGGAGAGGGCTCTGGGGCTATACAGGCACTGTTGTCTTTTATGAATAAATGAACTGGAGAAGGCAGCATGGGCTGAGACTGCCCTGTCAACACAAGCCTTCAGCATTTTAAGTTAAAAGACGACTTTTAAGTACTTCACCTGTGAGTGAGTGATGCTTCTGCCATTCAAAGACACTCAGCAGAGAAACGCTCTTGATTCCAGTTCACCCACCCGAAGGATGCAGAGATATCCTAGAAAAGTAGGGCTGACACCAGATGGGTGTCAGACTTCTGTCACAGCTGCATCTTTCCAACTACTGAAGTGAAGGGTTTCACTTTGGCAACAGGATCTTTCCTTTAGGAATGATACTAATTATAGAAGACATTCATTGAGATCCAGGAAAAAACAGGTTGCTTTTACTCAATTCTTTAATGGTGCGGGTGAATAATTTTCATACCACTGTACACCACTGCCTTAAAGGAAAAATATTCCTTAACACAACAGCATGGATTTTATTCTTTACCCTACTGACAGAAAGCCTATGTCGTGACATGAAGCCTATAACGTTTGCCTAACAACCAATAGAGTATTGCACTGTTTGTAAAAGAGGCACAAGAAAAAGCACGTGGGAATTTATCGAGTACAGGCACCAACAAGAGGAAGTATCCCAATAATTATACTCAATAAAAATGTGAATGCACTTAAGGCTCCCCAGGCCTTTCTCATTAAGAGGTGAACATTGCACCCACTTGTCTGCAATACGGAAATTTTCTGCATGCGGTTGAAGAGGCAGCTGCACTGGCAGACCCCTCTGTCAACACTTTATAACAAAAAAGCCCATTTTAGAGGTGCGTTATCCTTACCTAATTCTACCCAGCATACTGCATATACTGCAAAGATCAGAAAAAGTGCTTTATTGAATATTTTTTTTAAGAAAGTTCTCATGGTTGCAAAACATTACACTTTTTCCCTTTCAGAAGGGCTGTGCCTTTTGGTGTGCCAGATGCTGGTTGGCATCAGCTGAGGGAAGCTACTGGTGCTGACACTTGAAAGGAAAAAGAGGTTGCCACGGTTCAAGTATCAGCATCAGCAGTTTTGCTGTTATGGGAGAAGGAGGACAGACTCGTGTGACACCACAGCAGCCAGTGGTTGGTGAAACAACTGCTTACAGGACAGGGACAAGGAGTTCCACTGCTGCACCTGCTCACCCACCAGGCTACTGGGATATTCTTGTGCTCACTAGGGATGGGAACCACTTGAACCACCAGTCTGGCTGACTGTAGCATCACAGAGGCTGGAGAGGGATGCCAGTTGGGAGAGTAACGCAGAACAACTATTTATTTTGGTTTAAACTTTCTAAAGACAGTTGAACACATACCTCTGAAGGTCTTTGCACAGACTTCTGAGCACGCTGTTTCCCCTACAGAGCTCAGAGACCAGGACTGAGCAAGACTTTCCCTGCAATTACACCTCTCGTGGCCAGTCCAAACTAATGGCACAAACTGCAGGTTTGGTCACCAGCAGGTATATGTAGCGGATGCAGCACCGCAGCTAAACACCACCAGCTTCTTAAAAGCCTAAAGGTGGCACAGATGAGCAAATCAGACATTTATTATAACTGCAAAAAATTAATGAGTTACATCCTTGCCCTCTTCTGACTGATGGAATAATAATGCAAGAATCTAATAAATTAACCAGAGGGAAAACCAAAAAACAACGCAAAACAAAACACACCAGCCTTTGCAAGGCTTCCAAAGCAGAAAGCTGACAAAAACCAGAGACATCTCACATGACTGACTTCGATCTTTCATGTTGACAGTCCATTTATTCCTTTTTCCATTGCCACAAAATTTACACACGTACAGCTTACTCAGCAGCAAATCACTCAGGTGCATTGAATGAGCAGATGCCTGCAGGTTTGCTTCCTTGGCATGACATACATGATAAATTACATTTAAATTTAGAATTGGCAAGTACAAATCCTATGGCTCAGTTTCAAACGCTCCAGGATGTAAAACCAAACAACTTGGCACCAAGTTTAAAAATACATACAGCATATCTAGGAACTAATACTGTATGCACTGAACCACTTGAAGACATCTGTACCATTTATGATTATAAATAGATCAGCCTAGGTGTTACCACTGTACCAGTTTACCTAAAAAAGCAAGTCAGAGTGCCCTGTAAAGTGAAACAGTGGATAGTAGCAGATTTTTAAAATACATAAGGAATTCATCATTTGAAAGCAGTTTATTTGCATTTATTTTAATGATTGTTCAAGCGTGAAGGTGTTACTCCATGCTATTACTTATAGGATTGTAAAATGCATACATGGCTTCAAATGAGTAGAAGGCTAGGAAGAACAAGAGAAAGAGAAAAAGCGTACTACGCCTAGGAAGCTGGCTGAAAAGGAACGACTACTATCTTGAGAATATTTTGCCCAGTCTTCCCCTGTGGGAAGGCGTCTTCCATGAAGGATCCTCACA